CGAGAGCGTGATGCCCATATCGACCCCAAGGCGGCGCTGGCGAGATCCAGGTTCTAGCGCGCCAAGGCCCTCCACGACATAGGGGGAGCCGTGGCCGTGCATCGAGATTTTACCGCCGGGTCGGAGGTTGGCGGCATAGCAATCGACGTAGACCACGTTCTCCCCGACTGAGTGATCGCGCGTTAGAATCATGCTGGCCGCTGGCGGGCACCGAGATGGGGCGATTCCAAACTGGGGCGATTCCAAACGTGGTGCCGCGCGATGGGAAAGCGGGATCGCCCTCACTGGACGCAGCGACGAGGGCGGCGTCGCCTGCAGCAGCCATGGCAGCGGTCCAAGGGGGGCTTGCAGTGCGCGCGTGCGGGGAGGTGCGCACCATTCTCATCCGGCAGCGCCGTCACACAGGGTATGCTGCAGAGCGCTGCGAGCGTGAACAGGTTGCTGGCACGATCCACGGTGACCGAAACAGGCTGAGAGGCGTGGTGCAAGCTGCTGTCCGTCCGGAGCCTCCGCACAGGCGAATTCTTTTCATCATTTTTGCTCTAGGAGAAGAGCCGCTTCCGACACTGGGTTGTAACGCCGCGCCGCCGCGCACAGTTTCTTTTTCGCGCGCCCTCGCTTGTCCTCACGCCGGCGGCCGTGCTGGAGATGTGGAGAAAGTTCACAAAGGAGGAGCACATCCGCAGCCACGCCAAGGTCAAGTCGTCGGAGCAGCGCGGCATCCGCGCGCGCGTCATCGAACAGTACCCTGCGCTCGAGGAGCACATCGAGGACATCCTGCCGAAGAAGTCGGACCTGTACGTGTGCAAGTGCACCGAGAGCCGGCAGGTTATCCTCGATCCGAGCGGCGAGTTCATCTTCTTCCAGTGCCGCAGCGGGCCCTTCATCCCGACGCTCCGGCTGCTGCACCGCTACCCGGACATTCTGCCAAAGTACCAAGTGGACCGCGGCGCGATCCGCTTCGTGCTGTCGGGCGCCAACATCATGTCGCCCGGCCTCACCTCGACCGGCGGCAGGATGGACGACGTGCCCGCCGAGTCGATCATCGCCGTGTACGCCGAGGGCAAGGAGCACGCGCTCGCGATTGGCGTGACGACGCTCTCGACCGAGACGATACGGAGTGAGAACAAGGGCGTGGCCGTCGAGAACACCCACTACCTGAAGGACGGCCTGTGGCTGCTGAGGCGCCACGGCGAAGCCGCGGCGTGAGGACGGAGGGGGTGAGAGGGGGCGTCCGTGCGCGTTTTTGGCGTTTGGGCTCGTCGAGTGAGTGCCCACAGAGGACAGAGCATGCAATTGCCGCTGCATAGCGGCAATAAACTCCAGCAGCCCGACGCTCACTACAGTGATCTCCGCTCGCGACAGAGGCGTACACACACACTACGCACTACCCAGGCAACACAGCCACACGAGACACAGATTGATTGATTGATGGGAAGGCGAACACAGATGATTGATTGATAAAGGCGCGAAAAAAACCCCGAGCAACGACTGGGACACCAACTCGGTATGGTGGCCACACACACACTCTCACACAAAATGGTTGACAGCGAGTTGTTGAGAAAAAGAAAAGCCGCGCACCTACATGTATGTCTACGTAAGTTTTTTCTTTGTGTTGTGTGGTCTATAAATGTGTAAAGGCACGGAGCCTGGCGATTGGCGCCCGCAATAGGTAGGTAGGTAGGGCGTTTTGGTGCGAGTCGTGGAAAAAGACCCCCTATCTGGGTAGGAGCCGGAACCCTGCGCGGGCCGGCGAGCGAGGCAGCCTGCGAGTACAATGTGTGTATGGACGAAGCCGCGCTCGACGCCGCGCTCGGCAGGCAGCGCCTTGGCCGCCACGGCTGCCTGCCCGGCCTGCCGACCCTGGTGCCCACACTGCTCTTGATGCCAGTGTACGCGCTGCCTGCGCTGTTGATATTATCGCCCGTCTTCGTCGACGACGGCGTGGCAGAGGAGTTGCTCGGCGGTGCGACGGCCGAGGCCAAGCTCAAGCTCGCCAGCGTCTCCTCCGCCTTCTTCGCCGTCTGGGGCCCCGCGACTCTCGCAGTCTCGGCGCTATCCGACCGGGTGGGCCGCAAGCCGGCGATGCTCGGCTGTGCGGCGGCGTCGAGCGCGCTCTCCTTTGGCTGTGCGGCCGCGCCCTCTTTCGCCGTGTACGCCGCGTGCCGCGCGTGCCTCGGGGGCGCAGTCGGCGGCATGGGCGCTATCTCTTACCTCTTGGCAACAGAGTGGTCGGTTCGCGCGGACGCGCTGCTACTGACGACGGCACTGATGTGCGGCTGGTCGTTGGTCGCCGCGGGCCTCGCCCCGCTCGCGGCGGCGTCGAGCGCGCGCGGCGGCGACTGGCGTGACCTGCAGCTCACCATAAGCCTCATCCAGCTCGCCGCCGTCGCCACGGGAGGATTGGCGCTCGAGTCCCCGCGCTACCTGCTCGCGAGGAGGTGAGGGCGAAACGCGAGAGAGGTAGGGGGGGAGGGGGGGGAAGGAGGGCGAGGTGGCTTGGCGCTCGAGTGTCTCCGCGCTATGCAAAGCGAGGAGGCGCGAGCGCACCGGGCCCGCCGTGGGAGGTTGAGTGGCGGGGGAGGGCCCACCTCAGCCAGCCTCTCGCACCACACGGTTGCGCAAAGACCGGGGGCGTGTCTCCCTTCCCCTCACGCAGGCGCGAGGCGCGCGCGCAGGCCGTGCTCTCCGTCGCGCTCAACGACCGCTGCCCCACCGCGTTGAGCTGCTGCTCCGAGCTCGAGCCGGCAAATCGAGCCCAAGGCTGTGGCCGCCGGCGGAACGCCTGAGCCTTCACGGAGCCTTCCTAGGCGCTGCTCGAGACCCTGGCGACGGCCGCGCCCGCCGCGGGCGGGGCAAGGAGTGGGGAGGGAGGCGGAGGCGGCGCGGTGGTCAGCCAGGGTGGCGACGGCCAGGGCGGCTGCGGACACCGCCGTGCGGGCGAGGGCTCCGTGGACCACGCTGGCGGCGGTGGCGGCGGCAGCGACGCTTCATGGTGCCTCCGGTTTGTCGTGATGGGCCTCTGCTGGCTCGCCGTCTCTGTGCTCTACTACGGCCTCGACTTTGCGACATCGCACAGCGGCAGCGGCGGCTCAACGTCCTCCGACTCCAAGTTCACCCACTTTGCGCTCACCTGCCTCGCGGACCTCCCGGGCTATCTCCTCGCCTATGCGCTCGCGGCGGCGCCGCGGGTGGGGCGCAGGGCGGCAACGGCCCTCACCATCGGCGCTGCGGGCGGCTGTCTGCTCGTCACGCCCGCCCTCGTCCCGCTCGTCCCCGCCGCGGCTGGCCCCGGGCTTGCCCTCTCCCTCTCGCTCGCCGGCAAGTTTGCCGCCTCTGCCGGTTTCGTGCTCGCCTACCTCCTCCCGGCCGACATCTTCCCGACCAGCCTCTGCGGCTTGGCCATCGGGGTGGCAAACGTCTTTGCCCGACTCGGCACCATGCTCGCGCCGCTCTGCGCCTCCGCGCCCCCCTTTGTGGTGCAGGTCGGAACACGCGCGCCGCCGCACATTATTGATCGCCCGCGGAGGCTCGGAAAAGAGGGGGGTGGAGGGTTCCTGCCTGTGTCTCAGGGGGTGGAGATGCGGGGCCAGCCTGGCCCCTTGCCCCACAACAGCGGGGGAGACGTGTCCCTTACCTTCCTTACCGCAGGTCGGCCTCGGCGGCACCGCCGTCGTGATCGCGGCCTTCGCAATGGTGCTGCTGCCGGCGGGGCGCTCGGCGGCGACTCCCGCGGCCGACGTCTGAGGGCGCATGGCCCTATATACTGCGCCGTCGTCGGTTGCCGGTTCGATCGTTCGCGCTCCTGTGACTTGTGGGCGCGGCCGAACCCAAGCGCGAACCGCGAACTCCGAAAGCGAACGAACTGGCACTTCGCCGAATGAGTTCAATGATAAGGAGCGCCTCGCCGCGCTAGAGTACGACCCGGCGACCAGCGGGAAGAGGGAGCTGCTGGACGGCGGTGGGCGCGAGGTTGAAGGCGCCTGAGGTGGCGGCGGCAGACTGCAGTCAATGTCCCGGCAGTGGATCGCGCGAGAGGAGCGCGCGCCGGAGTCAGAAGGGCTGATTGCTTTCTTTTGCCTGTTCCTCCATTGCTGCGTGGCGTGCGCGCCAAGGGCGACCTTCAAGGTCTTGTCTGCTCGTACCACACTCGCGCTTGCCGCTTGTGTCGTTGTGCCCCGGACCACTCTCTCTCTCTCTCTCTCTCTCTCTCTCTCTCTCTCTCTCTCTCTCTCTCTCTCTCTCTCTCTCTCTCTCTCTCTCTCTCTCTCTCTCTCTCTCTCTCTCTCTCTCTCTCTCTCTCTCTCTCTCTCTCTCTCTCTCTCTCTCTCTCTCTCTCTCCACACCGGTCCCGGGTCCGCGGTCGATCGAATCTCCTGTGTATATGTCCTTGACCTATCTCGAAATATTTACATTCACGCGTTTGTGCTCTCGGCTCCCGCTCTAAGTCTCTACACAGCCCTCACCACTCAGCGCTCTACATCATCTACACCTGTTCCCTCCCTCCGCCCCAAACAAAGAAAGTGCCGGCCGCCCGTCGCTGCCCGCCCGGCAGCCGCCGCGTATGTGTACATGGCGGTTGACGCCGGCTCGACCGGCGGCGCGGCCTGCCTCGCGACCATCATGACCGAGGATCGAGTGCTTGCCTTCCACCGCCTCGCCGCTTCCTGGCCGTGGCCCATCTCCGTCGCCTACCTGAGCACCGAATGGCACCGCGACCGCCGGCTTGGGCTGCAGCTCCTCGACGTGCAGGCGCAGCCGCCGCCCGAAGCCCATCGGATCGTGCTCTCCGTCGTCGCCGACCGTGGCTACAGGTGCGCACGCCGGCAGCCGCGCCTCCTCCGATCTGTGCGTCCGATCCGGTCGCTGTCATTGGCTGAGCCGGGGCGCTCCTTGCCGCCGCCCAAGCAGGCAGCCGCAAAACCTCTTTCCGTTCAACCTGCTGCGCAACGTAGCGGTCGAGAACTGTGCTTCGAAAACAGTCCTGGTGGCCGACGTCGATTTTGTGCTCGGAGGTGATGGACACCGTCGCAACCACCTTCCAACCGCACCCTCTCTTCCGCTGCCCTGCAGCCGCGCTCTCCTCTCCCCCGCCAGCCACCAGCGCTTCGCGACCCAGCCGCCGCACCGTTGTCCCTGTGGCGCGCAGGGTCGGTCGGAGGGCTTACTTCCGCGGTCGCCGAGGTGGAGGAGGACCCGAGAGTCGCCGTGCTGCTTCCCGCATTCGACGTGCGCGCTGGCCAAGCTCCGGCGCCCACGGCGGAGTCGGTCCGGCTGACCACGGAGAATTCGAGGGGGGAACGAGGAGGGGGGAACGGGCGGTCGGCGTCGGGGTAGAAGCAACAGGGCGTACGGGGTACTCTAGCCGTCACTTTCCTGCCTCAAAAGGGCGGGGCTGTCCCGGAAAGTGAGAAACGCCGGGCAGCGTGGCGCACAACTGAACCCTCCCATACGTGTCTGGCTCCTCCTTTGCTGTCCCATCTCCTCATCTCTTTCCCGCCTGGGCGGGGCGGTGGGCGGGCGCGCGGTGCGGCGTGGCGTGTGCGTGTGTGCGACTGCAACGAAGGACCGCTCGCAAGGGACCATTGGGTTTGTACTATCAAAACGAAAGAAAGAAAGAAAGAAAACAGACAACCCATGAACCCAAACGAGGGATGGGGGAGGAGGGCAGGGTCCACACCTGCACGAGCAGGATTTTGGAAGGACGATCAGGGGCACAGGTGGGCTCTCCTGCTCCTGACAAGGGACACGACAGGCTCGCAGCGCGGTGCGCGGTGGACTCCCACATCCACTGGCGGTCTCATCTCAGTCTAGCGACCTTCCTCCGGCTTCTCACCGGCAGTCTCTCATACTACCACGGGCACACTGACACAGGGGTGGCAGGGGCGGCGGCATGAGTCTCCCACATACTATGCGGGCCTCACTAGAGGTGCGGCCTGCGCGTGTCCTCGCCCTTGGGAAGGTCTTGAGGGGGGAGGGGAAGGGGCTGTGTGTCTGTGCATGCATGCATGTGTGTGTGTGTGTGTGTGTGTGTGTGTGTGTGTGTGTGTGTGTGTGTGTGTGTGTGTGTGTGTGTGTGTGTGTGTGTGTGTGTGTGTGTGTGTGTGTGTGTATGTGTGTGTGTGTGTGTGTGTGTGTGCGTGTGCGTGTGCGTGTGCGAGCCGCCCTGAACGCCACGAGCGCGCCGCGAGCGCCGTAACCACCCAAAAGTGGAGGTACATCAGGAGCCGCAGCCGGCCTGCGCTATCAACCCCGCAGCCGCGGTGGCGCGACCGGACCGCGGTTCGCTCCAGGCGCCTTTTGGCCCCGGTTCGAATCGTGGTCGGCGCGCGCCCTCGCAGAGCGACGCGTGGCGCGCGACGCGCGCGCGTGCGCGTGCGCGCCCAGCCGAGCCGTAGGCCGTATGCCGTCTGCCGTCTGCCGTCGGCCGTCGGCCGCCGGCCGCCGCCGCCGCCGTAGCGGCGGCGAGCGCTCGCCTTTTGCGCGAGCGCAGGGTGGACGCGCGCCGCCCAGCGCCGGACGTGCCGGAGCCGGTCCGGCGCGCGCGCGGGCGGCCAGCGCCTGTAAACAGACAGCTGCCGCCCGCACGTTCAAATGCCGGAGCAAGGGCAGGGGAACGGGCAAAAGGAAGGCGCGCTCGAATGGGAATTCTTTTTCGACACACACATGCGAGGCCGCCGCGAACGCCGCAACCGCGCCGAGGAGGCGAGGTTCGCCAAGACGCGTGTCCAGCTTCACAGAGACAAGGCCGCCTCCGGCTACTGCACCGCCGGTGATTCGTCGAACGTGCTGCCTTGGGCGTCGGGCGAGGGTCTGGTGCTGGAGCCTCAGGCAGCTCTGACCGCGGCGACGGCCGCCGCGAGGAGCAACTGGAGCGTTGGCGGGCTCAAGCGCTGCGCCATCATCGTCGATCGTCACACACACAAGAATGGCGGCTCGACCGTGCGCGACATCTTTCTGGAGAATGAGCGGCTAGGCTACGGCCTGTACCAGGGCTACACACAGCTCGGCTGGAACTCGGACTGGAGGAACGTGCGGCGGCTGGCCGACGCCGCGGTCGGGGAGGGCCGCACGCCCTCGCTGCTGCTCATGATCGAGGCGCACTTTGGGCAGGTCGAGCTCAAGGACCGGCCGATGCAGGACCTCGCCGCGCTGCGCGCCTTCCACCTGAAGCACCGCGTAGACTGCCCGATCGTCCTCGTGACGCGCGTGCGCGAGCCGCTCGACTACTACCTCTCCTTCTTCCGCTGGGGCGTCGCCTTCCGCATCAAAGAGGCGCTCGCCACGGGCAAGGGCAAGGGCAAGGGGGCACTCTCGCGCCACTGGAACGGCGCGGCTGCGGCCCCGCGCCGCCCGATGTGGGGCCACAACTTCAGCGAGTGGGCGGCGCAGGTGCCCAACCTGCAGTCGACGATCATGGCGCGCGGCATGGCCGCGAGCGGCGCCGAGTACTATGGCCGCATGCATGGCGGCTCGCGGCCGAAGAATGCGCAAAAGGCATGGCAGGAGCTCGACGAGATGCTCTCCGCCTTCGACGTCGTGGGTACGGTGAGCCGCTTCGACGAAACCCTGCTCCTCGCCGCCGACCTCGTCGGCCTGCCGGTGCTCACGTACAAGTACAACCGCCCCAACCAGAAGGGCGGCTACCGCGGCACCAACGCCGACATCTGCCCCGACCGCGAGGCTTGCGCCGCCCTCATCCGCGAGCTTGCGCCCCGCGACCATCGCATGTGGGCAAAGTACTCCGCGGCCTTCGAGGCACGACTCGCGGCGCTCGGCCCGGCTTTCGCGCGTCGCGTCGCGGGCTTCAAATCAGCCGTCAAGCGCGCGCAGCCGGCGTGGGAGGTCGCGCCGCGTGCGCAGACCATCTGCCGCTACCACCCCGAGACCGGGCCGCGCGCGCGCGAGCTGGCGTTCCCGAACTTGCGCTGCCCGGTCGGCGAGGCCGGAGGGAAGCCGCTCTGCCAGCACTTTTACGCGCACCGCCTCTTCGAGTGCCCGTGGCAGTACGTGCCCAACTCGTCGCTCACCGACTCGCTCGGCTGCTGGCGCCCGTCGTCCGGCTTCCTGTGAGTGTGCTTGAGGAGATCGAAGCCGCGCTGCGGCTACGTGCGTGCTGAGGAGAAAATTCACATCACGCCGCCCGCGGCGCGCCGCGCGCGACAGAGGGGTTTTTATTTGTTTTTGCGGCTTTTATTAGTTTCCGCGCTATTTACGACACGCATCGGCTACAGGATAGGCGAACGGACACCGCATGGATAGAGAGATTTTTAGCAATGAACAGGGCTCTCCAGGCCCCAAATGACGCGTGAGTGTTAGATTTGTTGTTGGATAGACGAACAGACAGACACAGAACAGAGAGTCGACAACGGTCCGTTCCCCACTATCAAGTCCGTGCGAGGTACAGTCGCACGCATGTCCTAATGACTCAGCACCTACGGCATGCCGCCCTACGCGAGGATTCGAGCGAGGTCCGTGGGGAGGTCGTACGAGGAGAGGCGGGGGGGCGGCGGCGTGTCTGGCGAGGGCGCGGCGGCGGCGGAGGCGGAGGCGAGGCGGCGCGGCGGGGGCAGACATCGCCAGAAAAAGAATTTTACCCAGTGTGGAAAAGGAATCTCCCCTCCCTCGCTTTTTTTCTTTCTTTCTTTCTTTCTTTCTTTCTTTCTAGAAGGCGGAGCGCGCCACGCCAAGGCATCCTGCCACCGCGCCGCGGTCAACGGGGTGGAGGGCGGGGTCCCGGAGGAAAGGAGACCGGGTAGCGTTCGAGTGGAAGTTTGACGAGGGGGAGCTCTTTCACCAATGCCTCGCCAGGGCGAGGCGGGAAGGCCATCTGACGAGGGGGAGCCCGGACGCCCGTTCAGGCACCCAAAAGACCAGGAGGCGGGTGATCATGCGCGTGCGTGCGTGACGGTGCGATGGCCCTGTGGTCGCCTTATACACGTACCACGTGTCTGCAGGGACCCAATACTTTCCTGAAAGAAAGAAAGAAACAGCCAACCCAAGGGAGGGATGGGAGGACGGCACGCCGCCACCAAACAGGGATTTTAAGGAGAGGAGTGTGGTGCTAGCCGCAATACTTTCCTTCCCGTGCCCAGTGTCGTGCCAACTGGATCAAGAACAAGCAAGCGGCAAACGGCCTCTTGTCCGCGGCCCCAGTGGGGGGCGCCCGCGCCGCCTAGTTCCGCGGACGGGCCCCTCCACCCTTCACGTACGGATCATGTAGTCCCCGCAATCGCTGTCGTGGGATCGCTTGTCATGTAGTAAGAGAGTGCGTTGTGTTCTTGATCCGCCTCTTTTGTGGTGTACCTGTGTTAGTGCCAGTGCGGCCAGTCCCGTGCCCAGTGTCGTATGTGCGAGGGAGTTTTCGCATGTAAAATTCTCTTAGGTTGCGAGGAGTTTGGTTGTAAAATTCTCTTTTGTGTTACTACCATTCCGACGACGCCTTCTGTGAGGAGGACGGCATCTCCTTAAAATCCCTGTGTGGTGGCGGCGTGCCGTCCTCCCATCCCTCCCTTGGGTTGTCTGTTTTCTTTCTTTATCTGTGAGGGCGACGGCTTCTATTAGAAGCCGTCGCTTTTGCAGTGCCAGTCCCGTACCCGGTGTCGTGGTAATTTTGTTTTCTTTTGTGTTTCTTGGCGACCTGGCGAATGTTTCTGTTTTCTTTCGCCGGCCTCTTTGACGACCCGTAAGGGGCCGTCGCCTGCTGTGCCATTTGTAGTGCCAGTCCGAGCCAGTCTGCTGTGAGAGGGGCTTGTATAGTAAAATTCTTTCGTGCTTCGGACCGACTCTCGCGGCCAGCGCGGCATGGTTGTCGCAGCCGCCGGCGTCCCGTTCCTCAAGCTAGCGTTCCTCGCGGTGAAGCAGCTCTCGAAGCCAATCGCCAACCGCGCAAAGGCGGCGGCCAGGAACTCTGACGCTTTCCGTGGCATCGTTGTCGCAGTGGGCCGCCAGATACACCAGCTGCAGATCCAGCTCACGCGCCTGGCCGAGGGCAAGGTCTCTCTCGCGCACATCACGCCGCTGCGCGAGCAGGCTGCCGTGGACCGCGGCGCCGAGTTTGTCTCCGAGATGGTGATCTACTCGGTCGCCGCGTCGACCATCGTGTACGAGTACCAGCAGAGTGCGAGCGAGAAGAAGAGGAAGGAGGCCGAGGCGGCTGCAGAGGAGGAGCGCAGGCTGGAGGCGAACAAGGCCCTGGAGCAGCGGCAGTGTGAGCAGCTCGATATGTTGAATAAACGCATCACGCTGCTCGACGAGCAGCTCTGGGCTCTGCGGCAGGCGCAGGCTGCTCATCGAGCCGCCGAGAGAGCGCGGGGGGAGCGCGCTGCTGCGCAGGGCTGGTGGCGATGGTTCGGCTCGAGCTCCAACGTCAATGAGAAAGGGGAGGGCTGACGACGCGATCAAGCGTTCAAGTACAAGAGGTACGTATATGTGGTTCTAGGCACACTCTCAGACTATAGGTTCTGGGCCACTCTCTAGAGTCTAGTCTCTACTGAATAGGGTTCACAGGTAACAGTTCACGCTTCATTACATACAGATGAACATGTGAGGCAGATTTACAAAAATCGTCAGAAAATCGCATGTTTCATGATGGACGCGAGGAGCGAATGGGTGGACGCCATACCAGAGACACGCGGTATGTGTTGATAGGCCCCACAGCGCAGACGGAGGAGAGAGGCCGGTTCAACTTCAAGCTAGAACGCACCGCTCAAGGTCCAGAGTGACGGAGGAAAAGGTGATCTAGCGGGGTACTCCCATAATGTGGGTAAACCATAATACCGTATTCGGTACTATCAAGAAAGACACCGAGAAAAGTCGCCGCGGCAGTCCAGCCTCTTCCTATGGACCAGCCTCGACTTCCATACAGTCAACATTTTGTCGCTGCGTGTTCGTGGCGAGCTGTGGCGGCGGTCGAAGTTCGCCCAGATTCGGTGACGAGCGCCGGACGATAGTACCGCCTCTGTTTGCCCTGTGCATGTCAGGCCAGGCTGCAGCAGGGCACTACCAACGTGCTGCCCTGTTGCAGCCTGACTTTGCCCACTGTGCACAGTCGCCAGAGCACCACCACCGCCCGGCATCGTGTCACGGCGAGCTCCTTCTGCGCCCGCTCGCGAGGCTCTCGCGCTGGCACACTTTGGCCATCTGCTGCTCGCGTTCGGCGAGCTCTTCTCCGCACTCCTGCCACGGTGCCGTCACCACACACCTTCTGGCTGGCCTGAGCCGCGCGGGGTCGCCGGCGGGGGCAACGCGTCGACCTCTCTCTCTGGTGCACCACGGGCCGCAACGCGGCCTGCGAGCAGCGTGCGCGAGGAGGCAGTGTGCCGGCACAGTCGAGCCGGAGCATCGGGTTCTTGATGCTTCTGGGGTCAAGTTTGACCTTATGTGGCATAATATGCAACAATAATGCGACGTTATCTCCCGGCTTTTTGAGATATGATCCCTCAAAGTCGAATTTTCGTTTACTGGTGACCATAGTACCGTCTAAAGAAAGAAAACGGACAGCGCAAGGGAGGGATGGGAGGACGGCACGCCGCCACCACACAGGGATTTTAAGGAGAGGGGTGTGATGCGCTAGCCGTCGCCCACCCTTGGGCGTCCGCCTCTTCCTATCTCTCTTCGCAGTCTCTCGCAGATTCTCGCTGCGACCTTCATGCCACCTCGCGGACGCCCCCTTCTCGTCGTTCTTTCCCTTGGCTCTTCTTCTTCTGTCGCGTCGCTCTCCTCTGCTTCGTTCTGCGGCGGCGCCGCCGCCTGCCGGTCCCTTGTTCTCGCGGCTTCTTGCGCCTTTCTGCGCAGCTCCGCCCTCCTCGCTGCATATCCTGGCCCCTCGAGTCTATAGTACCGTCTGTCTCCGGGTTTGCACTTGGTTTGCGTTTCTTCAAACGAAACACTTTAAGTCTCGACAATCACTAAGCTGCTTATGTGGCACCGCAGAGGCTCCCTTGGGGATGCCTGAGGCCACCCCAACCACTCACTAAGCCGTACGTAGACGAATTCGGCGCTACTTTTTTCGTTGGGAGTAGGGGTACAGTCGCCCATGCTCACGCTGCCCGCGCGACTGAGTCCCACAAACTGGACCTGGTGGGCGCGTGATTCCGCGCGCGACTCCTTCTTGAGTGAACGCCAGACACAGACCGAAGACGGTCACGCATATAAGCTCGTCGAGCCTGTCGCGGGCGCCAGCTTCGCAGGCGGGCACATCCACCAGAAGCCGCTCGCGCGTGTCGACGGCCGCCAACAGTTTGGCCTCCACGCCTGGGTGATTGTGAACGCCACTACTCCAGGGGTATCAACGTGCAGGGCCGCCACTCTGCTCCTGATCTCGGTCCTCTTCGCGTTTGTGCAATCGTGCCTGCTGTACGCGGTGTACTTTGAGTCTGCGTTCGAGCGATGTTCGGACCACGACCAGTGCCCGGTCGGCGAGTATTGCAGTCCGAGCCTCAAAGTCAGAGAGCTCGTCAAAGCCATCCGTTACGATGAGTGCCTACGCGGGAATTGCCCGGCAATCAAAGAACTGATGCGATTTGGGCTGAACCCGGGCAACTGCCACGACTGCTTCCATGCGCAGCTGGAGAGGGTGGCAGTTGTGGCAGTTGTGGGCACCATATTTGACGAGGTGACGGAGGGGCCGCTCGGCGATGGCGATGGCGATGCCGATGCCGATGGCGATGGCGTGGCCGAGGCGTTCGCCGCTGACCGCAAGTCCACAAGCCCCAACCAACGCTTCGTGTTCCCGCACGTGGACAATGTTTGGGCCAACGTGAGCTTTGCCATCGGCCCGGGATGGTTTGGCCGCGGGGACGATGCTACAGAGTTGTCCGGTGAAGAATGGATGCGCGAGGCGGAATATCATTGCAGGCGCACCGATACCTTGGCGATGCGCTGCGACCACCTCGTCAGGCGCCAGAAGAGTATTAGTAGGCAACCTTAATTCCAAGATCTTACACCTTGTATCCACGCTTGTCAGGCGCCAGAATCGCCTCACCGAGACGCACACGTGCGTGCTCCTTTTCGTCGTCCTGCTTGTGGTGATGCCGCTTGCTGAGGATTGGGACGAGGCGGCGATGGAGGAGAGGCTCGTTTACCACCGTACGCGCAATCACAATCAGGTCCCGGCCGCCTGGATGCGATGCCTGACGTGGATCTTCGTCCGGATCCGCCTTTTTATCCTGCCATGGATGCTCATGAACGCGACAAGCGCCTTGCTGCTCCACGACGAGACCAGCACCGAGTTCTTGCTCGACGGACTCGCCATCACCTTTGTGACCTTGGTCGACAACCTGCTCATGCAGTTCTTCTTGCCGCCGGAACAGCAGCGGGCTGTCAACGCGGCGATTGTGTCGCTTGAGGAGACGGTTGAACCCGACACGGAACCCGGCGGAGAGGGGAGGAATCGGCTCGCTCGCTGGCTGTTTCATCGCGTGTACGCCGCTGTGCTTGGCACCGCCCTCACCGCCGTCAGCCTGGCTCCAGAACCATTCATGGTTGTGGCCTCCCCGAACTATGAACAGCCTCTCACCTCTTGCCCGAGCATCACCGCCGGAATTAACCTCGCTTTCGGTTGCTCCATCTTTGCCATCGCAGGGACTTGGCCCCTTGTGCGCGATCGGTCCAGTTCGCGGGAAGCGTCAAAGCTAGTGCAGCTCGCGTCATCGGTGTGCGACTCGTTTGGCACGATGATCTTCCTCGCCGCATTCAATTTTCTCAACCCATTGGGTGATCTACTCCGGATCTTTATCCAACATCCCCTCTACGGTGCCCTTGCCTGGCCGTTGGTGGTACTGAAGGCGCTTTCAGTTCTGATCATAGGGAGGCAGCATCACTCAGACAAGGGGGAGCTCGAAGGTCGGGGCCACTCGAACTCGTCGCTTCTTCGCGACGACCAAAAGCGCCGCCACGCCGCTTTGGCGGATGATGAAGTCCGCCATCTCTTCGAACAGGGCCGTGATTTGCCGTGGCTAATTGTTAGGCTGTCCGTGCTCCTGGCAGTCGTCTCACTCGTAGTTGTGCGGGCCCGGATGCTTCGCAGGTCCGCCCGCACGCCCCGCGACCACCTTGCTTTACGCACGTGATTTTTGGCCACCCGTTCGTGGCCGTCGGTGGCGTACGTACGTACTGGGCTGGGTTTTTTTAGGCATTGTGGGGTTGGCACTCCCATCGACCCTCATGACCTCCTGCGGTCTCTGAGATGGACACCAGTGGGTGTGGGACCACAGCCAGGATACACTCAAAGGCTGGGTAAGCAGTAGAGGTCGATACTCGACGCGTCCCACATGGTATGTGTCGCTGTCGGCACGCTGTCGACAGGAATTCGAGCGACACCGGTGGCAGTGCCACCCAGGAGTGGTCGGGCGGTCTCCCGTCATGAAAGAGCCACCATGTGATCCGTATGATGATTCCTGACAACCGCCTCAGTCAACGTTCGTCACAGTTCCCGCTCTGAGAGGAGCTGCGGGTCAGTTCGACAGCTGGAGCTGTGTCGCCGGCGTGCGGCGGCCTGCCTCCGGAGGTGCCTCTGAGGTGGACATTTTTTGGTCACCGTGAGAGAACGCGTTCGAATTTTCACTCCGGAACTTCAACTCCACACGCGCACCGGCCAGGGCTACAATAGTGCCAGTGAGGCGGAGGCGCGAGTCGGAAGGCCGCGACCGTCAAGTGTTCCCCCAATTTTCCTAATCTCTGTGAACCCAGCCTTGTGACCGCCTACTAGGCGACCGTGATTTGGTCCTCTCCTTTTCCTACAATCGCTGTGAACCCAGCCACGTACTCTTCATGCACATTGAGTACAAAAATAAACGTAAGCCTAGACCGACGTGTGGGTGAAGGCGAGATGACGTATGACGACTAGACCATGTGATCTATGCAGATAATCGTGTTCCTCGCAGCTCTCTCTCTCTCCCTCTCCCTCTCCCTCTCCCTCTCCCTCTCCCTCTCCCTCTCCCTCTCCCTCTCCCTCTCCCTCTCCCTCTCCCTCTCCCTCTCCCTCTCCCTCTCCCTCTC